TAACTTCTTCCGTTCTGAGAAAACACTTGGGTTTGCTTTCACCACCTTTCTGTACTATAGCAATACAGAACATGCCATGGCCATTTGCCTGACCAGTTCAAATCCATAGTAAGATGAGGGAATTTTTTAATTACATGTGAATTTTAGCACCATTCAAGTACATAATGGATCATTAGAAAACATGTTTAAATGAATGAATAAACCCTGCCGTCGCACAATATGTTAAATATAGTATGATTTGATGATCTTCCTTAGAACACACATTGATCCTATCTCATCATTCTGTGGTTCTCCATACTTTGTTCACGTGACTGAACAGTGTCACTAACTTGATTGTATGCATCGTTCACCAGATTCACTTGCAAATGATTTCTATTAATTTATCAAAGTGAAATACACTCCAAGGGTGAATACTTTATCCAAATGATGATTTAGTTCACAACTCCAGAAGTTTCCTCATTGCTAGAGGAAATGTAGAAATTTTTCATTTGATTTCATCTTAATCATACTTTCTAAAGAATATTGAATTTTTGTGAATTTCATATGATATATTTTGATCACATTTAGACCACGTACCCTATCTTCACCCCATCTTATTCTCCCCCTTCTGGATTTCATGTGCCCTGTGATATATATTAAGGTTTATGGAGTCAAATTTGGGTCCCCCAATGTCTTTCAATGTGGGTCCTTCCACTGGAGCCTGGTTACACTATCTAGCATCACATAATTAAAGAATACTAACTCACACTCTCCCAGCAGTTATTGGTTGCCAACAGTTCCTCAGCAAAAGCTGGGACTTCTTATCCACTCCCCACATCTATGCTGAGATCTCGTGTGACTTGAGTTTGCATGGGTCATGAGCATGCTGTCATCATTGCTGTGAGTTCATGTAACTTCCCACCTATCTGGAAAAGTCTGTTTCCTTGTAGTCACCCAATCCTCTGAGTCTTACATTCTTTCCACTCTCTTGCCATAGTTGTCCCTGAGCATTGAGTGGTGTTGGCAGGTTTCCTCATGGGTCCAGCCCATGAGGGACTGCAGGGAACGAGGGTTCTGGCTGAGGTGGAGGTGAGCGGTGCAGAGTGAACACACAGACACCGGAAGTCAGGTGGAAGCAGGCACTAGGCGAAGTGCTGCAGACTCATTTATTGCTGGAAAGGGCAGGCCTTATATATCTCTCCCCCTGCCCCCAGTGTCCCATAAGCTGGTGTGTCGCTCCCTGATAGATCCCCTCATCCAGGCTGCTCACATCATCAGTCTCTAGGTGTAGGGGCCAATTAGGTTGGCTCTTTTGCGGAAGCGCGGGCTGCGCTCTCAAGGCAGAAGCTGTGTTCTCTAGTGCAGCCTGTGCTTAGGCCTGGCACTTCCTCTCCTACATATCCATCCCTTTTTATTATAGAAAGGTCAGTGGGAGCCAAGGTTCTTTGCCTCGACATACTTGACACCACCTCAGAGGGCACTCAGCTTGATAGACTGTGACTGTCTTAGGTCATCCTGACCATCAGGATCTTACCTGTCAATGACTACCAGCCCTCGAAGGGTGTGACCTCTGGCATGACCATGTGAAGGAGGAGGGCAAGAAGTTACATAGCCCTTCTCGGATGTCAGCAAGCCACACCTACAGGACCTTGGGGGGGGTTGAAGTCTGGATCCTCAAGCATCTTGAGAACCTGATACACTGAGTAATTTACTTGGTTTTGTCTGCAGAAGCATAGAACAAGACATTTAATGAGCAAGAAAAGAATTAAGACTATGATACCCAAGAGTAAATAAATCTGCAGTACCTTGCTTAGTGCCTGCTTCCCCCAGACTCCTGGTGTCTGTGTGTTGCCTCTGCACTGCTCACCCCCACCTAGGCCAGAACCCACGTTCCCTGCAGTCCCTCATAGGCTGGACCCACGAGGAAACCTGCAACACAGTGGCAGAGGTTTGTTATAGGTGTTCTATTCACGGAAAAGCATACCGAAGTCTCTAATTATCTACACTTTGGCCACTTGAGGCATTCTGGGTTAATCACTGTCTGTTGCATGAGGAACTTTCTCTGGTGAGAGTTGAGAGATGCATTAAAAATCTTTCTGCCCCTTGTTCTGCTATTTTCCCTGAGGCTTAGTTGTAGAAATTGCACTGTAGATGTGTCACTTAGGGCTGGGCACCTCAGAGACACATACTCTCTGTGTTTGACCAGTTGTGGAACTTTGTAATACTATCCATCAGTTGCAACAAGAAGCTTCTATAATGAGCAGTGAGACACACGCTTGTCTGGAAATATAGAGATACACATTTAGAATATAGTAAGAAATTACATTGGTCTAGGTATATGAAAAAAGTGGGTTTTTCTCTAGGGTATATGTCCTCGCCAGCCATGTGTATTTGTCTGTGTTTACAGTACCATACATGAGTTCTCTCCTGTTGAGAAAGCCTTAAATCCAATTAGACAGCTGTTGATTACCCCCCACTCCCGAAAAGTGCCACTGCTATACCAATAGAGATTATTTGACTTGCTGGTCATTGTGGTTTGTAGACTATACAGCTGGGTGGGGTCATTCACTGGTTTCCTCCCTTGGCAATTTTCATAGTGTCTACTGATACTATGAGAGCTAGTCTTCAGAATAGAGGCTTCTAGGTCAGTTCTAACTCGATTTCTCCAAGTTCTGAGTCTAAAGTACATCCTATCTTCAGCAATAGATTCTTACCTTCAAGTTCTGGGAGGCAATCAAGGGCTGTGGCAATAGCCTGTATTATTTGGGGAGTCTCTTGGACTACCCTGACCAACAACTGGAAAAGAGGTTTTCCCTGCCTGGCACTGTGATTTTCTTGTTAGTGTTGTTCTATAGCCTTCACCTATACACAGTCATGTTCTCATATATATTTTTTTACCAGTGAAATTTTGAGCTAGTATTTTTCCCTCTGGTTTTTTTACATCATCTAAGCATTATTTATATCACCTTTCTTTCCCCTTGTAGTATAGCTTTCCCTATTCCATCCTCAGTTTAAGTATTCCCCATTTCCACATTGATAATACCTGTCTCCTTCTAACCTCATCTCTCAAGCTCCTCTTGCCCTTTACCCCTATGGTTCCTTTCCATTTTCATGGCTCCTGTGGTTACATCAGGCTATAGCAGTCATATTTATTTTCTTTCCCTATATTGAGAAATCCTACAAAGAGAAAGTTTCACAACCCTTAAATAGAACTCTTTAAGTTTGTACCATGTGACAATTGCCCTAGAAGTCCATTTGTGCTTTAGTAGGTTGAATTTCTGTGAATCCCAGAGGATCTATGGTCTACACCTAGGCTGAAATAACCCCCAAAGATACTCCGTGTGCACTTTGTAGAGTTTGATAAAAGGGGAAAGAAAATTGCTTACATGTTTAACATTCAGAGAAATGTGGAGAAATGTGTCCTTCTTGGATAAAGTGACTTAGAACCCTTTAGATGTTGCTCAGCTGGTATGCTTAGAATGACATTCTGTATGATAAAGAAAGAAGAATTATGGAGGCACTATTTTGAAAAGACTGGTGGGCCGCAAGGAACTACAAGGTTTTAAAAGTGAGATATGATTATCAACTGTTGTTCCTGATAACATCCAAGCAAACTTGAATCTGATAGCATCATTTTTATTCCTATCACGTCATTTATTTAACATTGCCCTTGTTATCTTCCATGCCAAATGTCCCTCTGCTATTCTATGGATTGCTTATAGATTAGAATCTGCTGTTTGCCTTATTTGGATCAGAAATAGTCACTGTTTATTGTATAAGTGTGTGCACTTACACACCCAAGCTAAAAGGAATGCTGGGGTTTTGACCTTAAAACAATCTACTGTGGTTATGAGTCTTTCATTTGAATGGCCCATTCCGAAGAAAACATGGACAAGTACATGACAGAAAATCACATTCCCAGGTTCAGAGTCCTGAAGGCTTTTCTCTCATGTTTGCTTGTAGAATTACTATGGTCTTTTCTACGATATTGATTTACTTGTAAATATTACTGTAAGGCAAGGATGGGATGGAGGAGAGAATTCTTTTAAATCAAGGGCTTATGAGTTAAAAAAAATATCAGTTTTGTTTACCTTAAAATAAAGGTAGACTGTAGAATCCTTTTGGAAATCTAGGCAACTAGCATTGTAATACTGGTTGAAGCCTCACCCAACTTACAACCATAACGATTGATAACTTGACAATCCATGAAAAGTAATTACATGGCTAGTGAAATGTCTCAGTAAAGACACTTGCTACACAAGCCACATCGCCTGAGTTCAATCCCTGGAACCCGTGTAAAAATGGCAGAAGAGTACAGACTCAGCAGTTGTCCTCTGACTTGTACATACATACCATGTCATGCATTCCCATATGCATACACATTATGCACTTACAATAGTAATAGTAATAATAATAATAATAATAATAATAATAATAATAAAAGTAAATACAAAAGAACAAACTCGAATGTCCATACACTTTGACAAGGGGGGAGAATTACCTTACCACACAGCTTCAAAGCTCCCAGTGTGGGAGGTGCTTGCCTTTAGAAGGTTCCAGGTGCCTTTGCACTCAGAGTACATGGACTATTTATGGGCCAGTGTTGTCCTCGTTTATAGGGGGTCTGCTTTCTCTCTTTCTCCCTTGAAGAAACCTACAAAGGCACCTAGGGGAACAAAGTTCTACATGACAGTGTTATGCTTATTTTTCCTCAATCCTCTTCTTCTTGAATTAGTCCAACATAAAATTTGTGGTTAGTCCAAATCTTCCCATTACCTACTACAAATAGAGCCATGCACTGGTCAGCAGCATTTTCACTCAGGGCTTTCTGTTAAAACATCATGTGAAATGTTATGTTTGATTTCCAATGATAATGATTCATTCTATTCAAATAGAGTGCCCTTCATAGAAGTTTTAATGAAGCATGTTCTTAAATTCCTGAAAGGCATTTTCCAGTTATTCACTTGAAATTCACAGCCTTATATAAACATTGAGCTTCTGTTTATTTACTTTTGTTGCAGGAACATTTTACACCTGAGTGCAAATTCAAAGAATCAGTGTTTGAAAATTATTATGTGACATATTCATCAATGATATACCGTCAGCAGCAGTCAGGCCGAGGGTGGTACCTGGGCCTGAACAAAGAAGGAGAGATCATGAAAGGCAACCACGTGAAGAAGAACAAGCCTGCAGCACATTTTCTGCCCAAACCACTGAAAGGTAAATTTCATATTCTAGGAACTATGGGTTCTGTTACAAAAAAATACTGATTTAAATCAATCTCATGCTTTTGAATGTAGAAGGTCCACATTAGGGCATCTATACAAAATTTTCAAGCATTTCACAATATTCAGAAACATTAAGAGCACAATTTAAATATCATGAAATCATTCATCCATTGACAGTAGTATCTACTCTTATTTTAATTTATGCATAGTATATGTGCATGAAGTACCACCTCTCTTAGGAGGAAGTCCTACATTGTGACCTCTGAACAGCTGAGAATGTCAAATTCTATGAAAATGGTAGTAGAGAGGAAAGATGGATGTTGAAAAGTGTACACACTGAACATTTATGGGAAACCCCCTACTAAGCCATTTCTAAGCTTCCACAATGCAGTCTCAAGAACTTTCACTCATAGGTTGGTTTTTCCATCGTTATTGGTGATTGATAGAGTAATTAAAATTAGAAAGACATGGATATACTGTGGGTGACAGCAACGTTAGAAGAAGGGAGACATAAACTAAAGATAGAAAATGCAAACGAAAGAAAGAAAGAGTTACCCAGTCTGGAGTTATAAAATAGGCTTAAATTTGGGGAAGACTCCCATCCCCACATTGAATAGCACTATGTTTTACAAACTCATTTTCTGAAGCTAGACTACCTGAGTTCAAGTCCTTTACTTTTCACTTTACTGGATGATAAGGAATTTTTGAGGCAGAATCTCACTCACTATGTAGCCGAGGCTGGCCTGGCACTTGCTTCACAGCCCTGGCTAGCCTTAAACTCATGCTCTTCCTCCCTCAGTCTCCCAAATGCTGGAAATGCAGGCATTTTCCACCATTCCCAGCTGACAACTAGATGTTCTTCAAATGGATATTTACCTGCATATGCCGCATGATCATCAGTAAAATATAAATAAGAGTATTAACTGGGCCAACTGGCTCGTGTCTCTTATCCTAGCACTTGGGAGGTTATGGAAGGAGTTTCGGTTTTTAGTTCAACCTGTGCTATAGAGTCAGACCTTGTCTCAAATTGAATAAAAGAATATATCATAGCATGCTTACATGAACAAAATATGATGATGTATGTGGAGCACTTACTACGAAGGATGTTATAAGTGCTTCACAAGTATGTGCTGATTCTGTTGTTTACAGCTCTACTGTAATAATGTTACCATTTATTACACCAAGAATTATTCTGCCGCTTAGGTACTTAGACAGTTTCATTTTAAAATATGATAGAAATCAGTGTTGTAAAATGTGTGTGTAATATTTTAAGGTTTAGCTTGCACAGTATGTTGCAGATCACATTATAACTCCTAGGAGCTTTATTAAATGCATTTTCTTTAATTCTCTCATGTGTAACTCAGTGATATAAGTTAGGCATTAAAATTCTTCACACATGTCTTCATGATGAATAGATTACCCTTAATCTGATCTCAGGTACTGCCAGGTACTTGAAAGGAGCATTTGGCATGTTTGGTTTAAGTCATAGAAGACTAGTAACCAAAGATAAGTTGAGGTGTGTGTGAGGTACGTGAGGTTAGTGTGTATGCCCATTTTCCAAAAACTTATTTTTGTCTTGGCTCTTCACTTCTTAAATTTTATTGATAAACAAAAGATATATATTGTATACAAGATGTTTTGAATTATGTCTACTCTGTGGCATAGCTAACGAGCTATCTAGAATGAGGCTTGCCTCCTAGTCTTACCATTTTATGGTAAGAACACCTAGGATGTACTCTAGCAACTTTTAAGAATAGAATGCATTGGTGTGCCCCCTTTGAAGGCCTTTTACTCCATCTCTGTGTGCTTTTCAGTGGCCATGTACAAGGAGCCGTCACTGCACGATCTCACGGAGTTCTCCCGATCTGGAAGTGGGACCCCGACCAAGAGCAGAAGTGTCTCCGGAGTGCTGAACGGAGGCAAATCCATGAGCCACAATGAATCAACGTAGCCAGTGAGGGCAAAACAAGGGCTCTGTAACAGAACCTTACCTCCAGGTGCTGTTGAATTCTTCTAGCAGTCCTTCAGCCAAAAGTTCAAATTTGTCAGTGAGGTTTACTAAACACACAGGCAGAGTTCCCCATTCCATCTGCCATTAGACCTGGTTATCATCCACACAAAAGCCCCATAATTTAGATTGAGCTTGTGTAAAAGAATGCCACGCATTATCGATTAACTAAATATGGGAGAAGGACTGCCAAATTTTCTCATGATCTCACCTATACTTTGGGGATAACACACCCGAAATATTTCACAGCACTAGCGCTGATCAAAAGTTCTTCTCCCACCAAGAAAATTTTAAAAGACCACAATTATTCTTCAAAAACAAAAATACTACAAGTCAAAATTAACTGCTTAAATGTTTTGTAGGGGCAAACAAATTGTGTGAACTGTGTTGTTTTCTTGGCTTAATGTTTTCTATCTATGCTTGATTCAAATGTACTCCTTACTTTCATATAGTGCAACTTTATGATTTCTGAAATGAAATGGTTCTTTGATTCTGTCACTTAATCCAAATCAACTAAATTCAGGGTTGAATCTGAATTGGCATCTCAGGCTCAAGGTAACAGTGTTCTTGTAATTTTCCAATTTTCCTTTTTTTTTTTTTGTAAGATTCATAGCATTCTGGTCAACTTTTTGTGCTGTGCTTTCTGCATAGAAATTGAGTTGTATCATCAACCCCAGTCAGTAAACATAAGTTGAAAAAAAAGAGTATCCTCAAGTGTAGATTTCTCTTAATTCCATTTGTAGATCATGTTAATCTATTGTGGCTTCTTATGTAAAGACGGGAACTGTGGAACTGTGATGCTGTCTTTTGTGTTATTCAAATAAGAACTGTCTCATCTGTACATGTATGAGTCCTCCTGTCATTGTATTTGGCACGTGAATATCGTGTACAAGGAAATGTTAAGACCGGTTACCCCTAAACAACATATATTATACTTGCTACTGGAAAAGTGTTTAAGACTTAGCTAGGTTTCCATTTAGATCTTCATATCTGTTGCATGGAAGAAAGTTGGAATCTTGGCATAGAGTTGCATGATATGTAAGATTTTGTGCATTAATAATTGTTAAAATCTGTGTTCCAAAAGTGGACATAGCATGTACAGGCAGTTTTCTGTCCTGTGCAAAAAAAGTTTAAAAAAGTTGTTTAATATTTGTTGTTGTATACCCAAATACGCACCGAATAAACTCTTTATATTCATTCAAAGAAAAAAATAGCATCAACATGTATTTATTGATTATTCATTGCATGCCATAAAGTGTATTAGAAACTAAACATAAACTGTATTAGAAACTAAAAGCTAAACTGTGTAGATAAGTCCACTAACCTCAGATACCTGACACACCTAGACATTCATGTTCACATGAACACTCTTCAAAGTGTGTTCATTGAACTTAGACTTTCAAATTGGTACTATAGAAACCTCATTGTCCTTCAGGAAAGTGTTCAAAGATCTATGCTCTACTGCGTACAAAGACCTATGCTCTATTGTGCTCTCTGCCAGTCACAGTGTCAGCTCTATCCATTTTGCCCATTTCTCTCCTCTGTAAAGGGGAAATGCAGGACTAAATAGTCCTTTCTACCTGGGAGGGCTGAAGGAAAATAAAAACATTCTTTAGTGTGAATGCCTTTTATCTAGTTCACCAGAGCTGCTAATAGTTGACAGGGAAATCTTTGTGAGTAGTCTATGTGGGAAGAATGGTGGTGCAAATAAAACAAAACTGAGTGCCTTTCTGAGCATATGTCAAATAGATACTGCAGCCCTAGCAGGTTTTGCAGGAGAAAAGCCGATTCCGAAGATGTTTAGGCCAGATTCAGCAGAAGCTCCTCACCCAGCCCAGCCCAGTCACTTCCCGAGTCTATCTTAAGTTCTCCTCTGCCTACTTCATCTGCCTGAGCTGTGAAACACAACTTCAGGAGGTAAGGGCTACTTGCCTATCTTGAATAGAAGGCCTTTGTATAAACCAGTAGATTTACTAAGCTCCTTTCACCTTATCTCCCTTTCTTTGTCAACCTTAAGGTACTGTTTTATTATTTCCTATTTTGGTGGATGGTCTTACTTTTTTTCATTATTCAGGAAAAAGATATGTCTACAGGTAATAAACGTGTCAACATGTTTGGTGTCAGGGAAGCCTGACAAATGTAAAATAGTCAAAATGCCTAGAAAGAGGGCCCAGTATGGTAGCTTACACCTTTAATCCCAGTGCTAAAGAGGCAGAGGCAGGCAGATCTCTGAGTTCTAGGCCAGCCTGGTCTCCTTAGCGATTTCCTGGGCAACCAGTACTATATAGTGATACCCTGCCTCAAAAAAAAAAAAAAAAAAAAAAAGCTCCCAAGGAGAATCTTTTATTCCTAGAAGAGTTTTCGTTGAGCTGCTTCAAGTTTGTTTTAACAGAAGGTCATGTTTATCAAATCAATAAGTAAATACAAAGTTCAGAACAGACTGCAAATAATGTTAGCATTTTCACACACTTTAATGCACATATACTTACATGTTCCTGTGCATTCTTCATGGGAAAACCAATGGTCCTATTACATGTTTCATGAAATTAAAAAAAAATTCTGTGGAGAAATGGTTTCAAAAAACACTGAAAACACTGTTGCTTCCCAGACCTTTATCCACCTCAGGATCACCTGTTAGATTCATAAGTCTCACATTGCTTAATCCCATCTCCAGAGACTGTATTTTTAGAAAGTTTTGATGTACTGAGACTATTGAGAACCACTGATATACTTTTCTCTTATTACAAGTGTGCATAAGCACAATGTGTGCTGCAAAGACCCAAGTTAAGAAGCTGAGCTTAACTTTAAAAGTGTTGGGATATGGGGCTAGAGAGATGGCTCAGCAGCTGAGAGCACTAACTGCTCTTGCAGAGGACCCGGGTTCAATTCCTAGCCCCCATATGGCGGCTACGAACTGTCCTTAACTCCAGTTCCAGGGGAATACAATGCCCTCTTCTGACCTCTGTGGCAATGCACTCACACACATAAAATAAAAATAATAATAAATAAATAAAAATGTTGGGATAAACAAGTTTGACTGCAAAGCCCTATTTTCACAGAGCACCTAATAGCAATAGAGTAGAGTTATGGCCTCCTAAGCCTTTGGTCAGTCCCTGAATGGCACTGTGCTCTTTTATACATTTACCTGGTTTTAAATTGGGCCTGGGACACCTGCCATAATATGACAATGTTTTGTAGCATAGCATGTGACCTCGTATCAGCACTAAAAATGGATGTGTAATCCTTATACTGTGTGGTACATAGGATAGAATGACTATTACTTTCCTTATGCTAATTATGATTCCTTTTTACAAATTTATTTTTATTTTATGTATATGACTGTTTTGCCTACATGCATATAAGTGTACAACGTGTATGTAATGTCCACAGAGGGCAGAAGAGGGTGTCGGATCCTCTGGAACTAGAGTTATGGGTGGTTGTTAACTGCCATGGATGCGCTGTGGATAGAGCCTGGGTCCTCTGCAAGAGCAGCCAGTATTCTTAACCACTGAGCTATCTCTTCAGCTACAATTCTTTGAAAGCAAAACAGGTTCTTCCCACAACCAGGAGTTTTGTTTGGTACCTGAAGAAGGAATGTGATCATGCCACTGAAGAAATCCTTAAAGGTCTCACAGAAGAAGTGATCTCAGCAATTCTCCTCACCTAACTCACCAGCAAAGCTTCACTGTTAAGCTGGTCAGGGTCACTGAAGAATTTTCTAAAGACCTCAGGTACATGTTTCCAAAATTTCCAAGAATTCGTTTTCCAAGTGAATACAATGGGGGGGGTAGATATCTGAAAGGATCAAATTTCTGTCTATGTTAGCTAATTATTATAATCATTCTGTGGATGAGTGGTGGTAGAATCAGAACAGATAATCATTTCAATTAAATTTTATCATAGCCTTATAACCTGAAGTGTGTCATTTGTGAGTTAACTTGAAATGCACCCCCACTAGGATAGTTCTGAAAGACCAAGCTTTCAACCAACAATCTTCCTGAGGCAATCTACACTAGGCTATATTTTAGAAAATTCTTTCAATTTATGTTCAAAGCCACCTGACATTTTAGGTATTGATTACAACAGAATCCCTCTAGTCAGTGCCAAAACCTAGACAGGGATCTCTCAGCTCCATTATACTTGATGATCTCCAATTGTAAAAAGAATTGGTGAGTTGTAGCTAGAATAGTACTGCACTAAATTCATTAAAATTATAATAACAACTTAACATACATTTATGGACAAAACTTGGTCCCATGATACAACTTCATGCATGTAGCTATCCTGGAATGAAAATACCTAGATTTGCCATGCAAACACTTAGTTGACATGTAAGCTTTCGGTATTGTCTCAGGTATACCTTTGCCCCTTAATTATTGAGACTCCTACAAACAGTAGTACATTCAAAAAGTTATATCTGTAATTTTGGAAGAGAGAGATAAAGAGAGAACTCCTGGGTTCAAGTGATCTACCTGTCTCGACTGCCTGATTAGTTGGTACTAAAGGCATATGCCACAGAACTGTTTTCTATAAGAACATTATTTTGTGGTGTCAAGTATTAGACTGAAGGCCTAGTGCAGGCTAAACATGCACTGTAATGCTGATATATGTCTCCAGACCTCTATGTGGGCATTTATTCTTTCATAATTTCATATATACAATGTATTCTGATCATATTCAGTCCCCATTCCTTCTCCTGCCTCCTCCCACATCCATCCCCCACCCCCAAACTTCATGTCCTCTTTTATTAAATAACCCACTGAGTCCAGTTTGTGCCACCATATACTACGTGTGGGTGTGAAGCCATCCACTGGAGCATAGATGAACTACAAAGGGCCACATCCATAGAAATTGACTCTTCCCTCCCTTAAAATCCATCAACTTTCTATAGCTCCTTTAGGTGGAGGCTGAGACTCTCTATGATGGAATGTTGGATGCCTTGAGTTTTCTGCAGGCCTTGTGTAGGCAGCCACAGGTGCTGTGCATTCATGAGTGCAGATGTCCTGTTTTATCAGGAGACCGTGTTTCACTTTGGTCCTCCCTGACCACTGGCTCTTAAAATCTTTCTGTCCCCTCTTCCTTGATAGTCCCTGGGCCTTGGAGGGATGGTGTGTGATACACATGTCCATTTGTGGTTGAGTACTCCACAGACACTTATTCTTTTACTTTGACCAGTTGTGAGTTTCTGTGTATACCACTCTCCACCGAACAAACTTCTCTGATGAAGTCTGAGAGCTGTACTAATCTATGGATAGAGGGTTCCCGACTTAGCAGTTTCATTCTCAGTCCATTTAGCAAAAAGCAGTAGAAGTTTCACCCCTGGGGCCTATGAGCTCTTCATTCATGGGTTCTTGGCCAGATTTATACTAACAAGCATGTGTTTAGTATTGTGGAGTGGACCTTAAATCCAAGCAGAAAGCAGTGGTTACTCTCTACAATTGGACCCATGGCAAATTTTACCATGTTGGCTATAACTGTAGATTTAGGGTTCACAGCAAGTCAGACTGTTGATGAAATTTTTGTTTCTTTGTTTGTTTTCCCCCTAGCATTCTGCACAGTACCTTCCATGGTTCTGTGTTTTGCTGGCTTCCAAAAGCAGTCAGAGCCTGGCATGGTGGCACATGCTCTTGGGAGGCCGAGGCAGGTAGAAGTCTGGGAGATCATGGCCAGCCTGGTTTACATAGCAGGTTCCAGGCCAGATGGGGCTGCAGGGAAACCTTGTCTCAGAAAGAAGGAAAGAAAGGAAGTGGGGAAGGAAGGAAGCAGAGAAGGAGGAAGAAAGAAAGGAAGGAAGGAGGGAAGGAGGGAGGAAGGGAGGGAGGGAGGGAGGGAGGGAGGGCAAAAACAACCCAGCACTTCTTCAAACTAAGGATTCACTGAGGTTTTTCCTACAACATATTAACATGCCTTCACACATTTTACACTCTAAATAATAATCATGTGCATTCTTAAAAATAACTTGTTTTCAACTGTACATGAGACTAACAATTAAAGTAAATACACAGGGTGATGGCCAAATGAAAAGTCAGCATCTTTGAGTCAATTGCTCAGCTTGTTGTACTGTGGATATTTATTAACTTATAAACTGTCAGTGCTGCACAGCATGTTACTGAGGCCTGGATAAAGCATTCACACAAAGATAAATGGGTCAAAGCAGAGTCAGTCTTGGAGAAAAAAGGAGACATTCTGGAGTTTAACAACAAGGAAGTTT